ACCGTGAGATCATGACCTGAGCCGAAGTCGGACGCTCAGCCGACGGAGCCCCCCAGGCGCCCCTGTGATTTCTTTCTTCATGGAGCAGCTAGCGCTTGGGCGTATTATGGGCGCCTGCCCCCCCACAGATCTCCTTCTCGGCTCGTCCTGCCTGGGGTCTGCCTCCTGGAGGGGCCCGATGCACATAGTAGAGCCGGAACAGCCCGGGGGGTGCTCAAGGCGGGGGACGGGCCCCTTTTCCCCGCGTGGGCAGGAGCCGAGGCTCCAGCACTTTCTCAAGGAAACACTCTGAAGCCTTGTCATCCTGTCGGAAACTTCAGAAGCGTGTTCAGAAAACACACGCTCGGTGGCGTTGGCGCTGGGAGAGCCCTTAGCCAAACCGTGGCCCCGGGGCATGACGGGAGCAGGCCCAGGTGCTGTGGGGAGAAGGACGATGGCCGTGACTCTCGTCGGGGAGCACGCACCCCAGACCAGAAGCACATTGAAACCAACTTCTTATATAACTCAGCCCATTCTTCCTCATCTTTGTGGTCAGTTTTCTAGAACCCACCAGCAACTTTTTGGTTCACCTTCTGGTTTTGATGTGCTGTTCTCCACCTTTGAAAGGGGAAATGGTCAGGAGACCTCAGTATTTGTTTTGTTTTGCTTCATCTTTACTAATGAAATGGAGGCAGCTCTCCATCACGGCGCACCTGGCCGGGGCAGCGCTGAGCCCACCTGCCCCAGGGAGGGGACACGGACCGTGAGGAAAGGGGGGCAGGAGCCTCAACTCAGGGACGCGAACACAGACTCCCGTGAGGTTCGGGGAAGCCGGAAGGTGCCCCGCGTTGTTGACTCTGATCTTGGTGGCCCTAAACTCTGAGCCGTGTTCTTCTCCCCGTGACCACGTTCCATCCTAAAGGACATGGTGCGACGTCCCCATTTTACAGATGGGCCATCTGACACTCAGGGAGCTGACGCTGTCCCCCGGGAACGGAGAGGTCAGGTCCCAGCCCAGGGCCCTAACCGCTGCCCCAGGGAGGCCCCCCGTGTGCTCGACACTTACCAGATGCTCAGCTTTAAAGATGAGAACCCCTGACCTCTGTCCTCCAAGAGTCACTGACCCGTAAGCGAGCCCCCAGACTTGGGTCGTTTCAGACAGATCCCCCCACCCCACGGCAGGGCCAGGCGCTCTCACGGCCACAGCATCGGCTCCGACGTGAGCCCGCTCCGTGGTCTGGGACAGGGACTTCCCTCGCCTGGGCGTCAGCGTCCTCACACGTGAAGCGGGGCTCCAGCG